TTATCATTATTATTGTTTCGTACTGATACTTTTATTGTTTTTGTTACTGTTATTGTTGTTCTTATTATTTTATTCTTGTTAATGATAACAATAATTATTATTAGTTTTATCATTCTCATAATAGTGGACAAGGTTTTTCTTGTTGTTGTTAGTTTACTGTATTTTTTCTCGAATTTGAGATTTTATCCCTATTGGTCCTTTTTAGCTGTGTAAGGAGACTAATGCCTTTCAAACTAAAATTAAATAGCCCTTTTCAATGCTGTTCTGATTAAACTAAGAACATTAAAGTCTATGTATTTTACAGATTTTTCCCCGTAATCTCACGCCTGAGGTTGAGGTTTGGATGGAAGTGGGATTGAATAATCATCTCATCCTTCCTAGAGTAATTTTTCCCTTCCAACTTTGTGACTGGAAACAACGAGGGCCGTCAGCGAAGTAATATAGGCCTACTTTGTGTCTAGTAGGACGTTAGACTTAAACAACATCAACAAAAACAACAACAACAACAACAACAACAACAACAACAACAACAACAACAGCAGCAACAGCAACAACAAAAACAGCAGCAACAACAACAACAACAACAACATCCCGCAGTCTTCTCTTCTAATTCGCTTTACTTAAAGTAGTATGGCGACATTTTGTCCTCTCCAGAGTATTGCTCATGAGTCTGTTGTACAAATCTCGTCTCCATTTACCCTCCTTCCCACACACTCTCACTCTTTCTCTCTCTCTCTCTCTCTCTCTCTCTCTCTCTCCACACACACACAAATACACACACACACACACAAAACAACAACATCCGCAATAAAAATTCAGAAAATATTCTAAATTTAAAAAATTAACAATGACAACAAAAAGTGCAAGGGCAAAGAATCCCATTTAACCTTTCTGGACGATCATAATTATTTGTTTATTTGACAATCTAGTTACTTGAGAAACATCACATTGTTTCTGTCTCACTGTCACCCACGTCTCGTTTTTTCACGTCTCTGTCATGTTTCATCTGGTCTCTTCTCGTCGCGTCTCGGTCTCTTTTCGTCTCGTCTCATCTTGTCACGTCTCGTCACGTCTCGTCTCGTCTCGTCCCCAGGTTCACGGCATTGTCAACGACACTCTGACCTTTGTGAGGAGTGTTCTCGCCACAGAGCTCAACAGTGCCACGGACAACCCTGTATCCTCTCAAACTTTATTGTCGTTTATGATTTATATATATAGGCCTATATATAAATAAATATATATATATATATATATATACATATTGGAAGTCTTCTGTTTGCTTTCACTAATAATCATCTATAAAACCTTAATTTAAAACGCTGCACATTTTGTTGGAACAACTATTTCTACTCAAAAGCAGCCAATGATATGAATGGGCAGGGTTTAAAAATATTTTTTTTTTTAAAATTGGTTTCCACACGAACATTCCAGCTGTTGATTTGATCTCTTATTGTTCATATCACCGCTTTCCAAAAAACATCAAATTTGATTGCGTTGTTTTATATTTCAAACTTGACTCAAAGAGCTCTCCCTTAAAGTACAAAAAAGAAGTCTTTTGAGTTTTATGATATACATGCATAGTAGATATTTCTTCACATCTCTCATGGTAAATATACTTAATATGGTCATTGTAGAATTATTACAGACTGTGTCAGGGTATAACTCAAACCACTGCAGAAGAACTTATAAAAACCCACGTAATAAGTATCTATAAGGTACAATTACTAACTATCCTTACAAATGCTCCAGATGGTATTTGCCGACATGAATGAAATCTTCTCAGCGGGAAATTTTCACGGCGAATACCCGGCTAAGGTAAGTGACGGGAGAACATCAGAGCCGCGCACTTTCGAAAAATTATTATATTGCCGATTACCAGAAAAACCACCATCCAACAGTGTAAGTACCATCAGCGTATTACTGGGTTCGGGACCAGATGTCAATTAGATTTTGTATTGAATGAAAGTGATTTTCGGGTATTTAAACATATCAACAGGACAGGAGCGATCTTTAAAGTGTTGGGGCAGCCTTTTCTCGCTCATTCAGGATAAAAATGGAAGTTGTGAGACTTGACCATCTGCGTACATTTGCTTGTTACACATTCTCTCTTCTTTCTTTGTAGTGGCTTTCTATTTGGTCTGTATTTTTAGCTTCAGCTTAGAAATGGTCTGGAAATCGCTTAACCTTTGCAGAAAGACGAACATATTTGGATTGGGGCTATACAGAGTAATTTTGTCAAGGGGACTGTAACCGTATGATGGAATCGGCAATCTAATTGTATCGATAACGTGATAAAGATCGCAGTTCTGATAGTTTCTCTAAGTGGCTGACCAGATACGGTTAAGAAAAAGAAATCTCAAACACTAGCGGATAGTAAGAGAACGTTAGGAGTACGCCTTTGTGACTGATAATATTTATAGTAACAGCCATCTTGTTTGTATCATAAAATAGTGTTCTTCATTCTGACAAAAGACAAAAGAAGTTCCAGACCTACTGTCTTACTGTCTGATCTGAAAAAAAAATGTGGAGTGAAAAAAAAAAAGCCTTTTAATTATTTTTTTTAGCAAAGTGGTACGATAATGCTCATTATATTATGTATACTGTAAAGAATAGGTCAAACAAGATGGCTGGTTGTTACTAAAAATATCTGCCAATGGCGTACTCCTAACGTTCTCTAACTATCCACTTGTATCATAAACATCGACTTAATTTCTTTTTTTAAATTTTAAAGCTTTAAGCCACGACAAATGTGAGTTGTCTGGTGTCTGGCATAAAACAAAACAGAATAAACACTACAAACAACCAAAGCAATAACAAGAATAAAAAACCCAAAGGAACAAACACCCCTAAACAAACAAACAAACAAACAAACAAACAAACAAACAAAACAAACAATTCCCAATTGAAAGCAGGCAAACAATAAAACGTACTGATAAAGTTCAGTATAATAGTAATAGTAGGAAGAGAAGAGACCTTGCAAGCTACCGCAGATAGATAGCATGGCAGAGAGAGAGAGAGAGAGAGAGAGAGAGAGAGA